GGAAAAACTAGAAATTTTTAAAGGAATTCCCTTCTTAGCGCCTGAAAAATAAAAGAAAGCACGCTTGCTTCCTGGTTCATAGTCGATGCTCAATCACTGAGCCACGCTCGCTGGGCTGTGTATTCATCTTAGAGACAAGAAAAGGGAGAGAGAGAGAGAGAGAGAGAGAGAGAGAGAGAGAGAGAGAGAGGGAGGAACATTGACGTGAAAGAGAAACATCGATCGGTTGCCTCCTGTATATGCCCTGACCAGGGATCGAACCCGAAACCTAGGCATGTGCCCTGACTGGGAATCAACCCGCCACCTTTTCCGTGTCCACGCGCCGACCACATGTGAAGTTCTGTGTAGTGTGACTAATAGAACATCAGTCTGCAGCAAGTCACTCATGGTGCTGTTCTTGGCTAGCCAAGCCGCCTTAGTGATAAAGCACGCGGTTTGAGCCATCACACAGCCCTCTTGAAAGTTGTTGGTGACGCTGCTTTTGCTCTGATCTGTGGGTTTTCCGTCACCCACTGGCAGCCTCTCATTACGTGTCCACTTGCCACTCAGCATTTCCCCGGGAGTGACGGTCCCCCGATGGACGTTGACACTGCCTGGCTGTGAATTATTTTAGGGAACCTACTGTATCCATTCTCCCTTTCTTACAACTCTTCCTTTGTTGAGCCAAGTTTTCTCCTTCACATTGTGACACGGGTTAGATTCCCTTCAAGATACAAGAATGCCACAGTGTTTATTTGGCTTCGAGGGATTTCCCCAAAACCATGTAAGATTAGGCGCAGAATAGACCTTAGCACGTTGCTCAGTGTTTATTTGTTTTTCCCTCTAGTATTTGTGTTATAATTCTTTCTGTGTGCAGTCAAGGCTACCCTGAAAGATGAAGATAGATTTATCCACTAAAATGAAATGGGGGGGGGACCTATGTAAGTTTTTTTGTTGTTGTTGTTGTCAGCCGTTTTAAAATGGAACGTCTTCTATTCCTGCAAAGAGGAGGCCTGTGCCCGCTCCTTCGGGGGGTTATTGCTGTGCCTCAGCTCAGGGTTTGTTCCAACGGCTGGATAGCCAGGGAGATTCTTTGAAACCTGCTTGGCAGCCAGAACAAAGGGAGCTCACGAGGCGAGAAACGTTTAAAAACAAAACGAAACAAAAAAAAGACACCCCACCCTGTGGCTCGGAAAGTAAAAGCAAGCTGAGAACACGCTCTTTAGAATATTGGGATTCGCTCTTTTCCCGATTTCGGTAACTTAAAGAGTAAACCCTCCTCTCCGAAGACTGGCTCGCGGCTGCCTTGTTGGAGTGATGCCAAGGGAGAACATTTTGGGGCCAAACATGGAAGTCTGATGTGTCAGGAAAGATGTCATAAAGAACCCTGTACTTTTAGTAATTTAAAGTCAGTGGCCAGCCACCTCCCCCGATTTATTCCAGCTGGTATTTGCTGGGCGTGGGTGCCCTTGGACATTAAAAGAGCCAGAGGGGGCCCTAGCTGGTTTGGCTCAGTGGATAGAGCATCGGCCTGCGGACTGAAAGGTCCCGGGTTGGATTCCGGTCAAGGGCATGTACCTGGGTTGCAGGCACATCCCCAGTAGGAGGTGTGCAGGAGGCAGCTGATTGATGTTTTTCTCTCATCGATGTTTCTAACTCTCTAACCCTCTCCCTTCCTCTCTGTAAAAAATCAATAAAATATATTTTTAAAAAAAAAGAGCTAGAGGGGTTGCCCGGCCGGCGTGGCTCAGTGGTTGAGCATCAACCTATGAACCAGGAGGTCACAGTTTGATTCCCCGTCAGGGTACATGCTTGGGTTGCAGGCTCGATCCCCAGTAGGGGGCGTGCAGGAGGCAGATGAAGAATGATTCTCATCATTGATGTTTCTCTCTCCCTTCCTCTCTGAAATCAATAAACATGTATTAAAAAAATAGGGACAGTAATTCATTTAACACACGTGTTGAGTGTCCTTTGTGGGCCGAACAGTTCAGGGCACGGAGGCCCCAGCCAGGGAGCAATTAGACAAAAGGCCCCGCCGACCACCCGGGAGTTCACTTCGCCGAGTGAGACAGAGTTCACGGCCCCCCGAAAAAAATACCATTCGGAAGAGCCATCCCACCCGCCCCCGGGCTTTGGTGGAAATGTCACCAAATTGGAAATGTGATGGTATCTCCGTTCCTGCCTGGGTGTGACGGTGGTGTTTTGGTTTCCAGGGAGAAGAGAACGGCTTTGCAGACAGTCCCGGAGACCCCCTCGCAGGTAAACGTGTTGAGGACTAACCCCCCAGACACTAATATGTGAAATGTCAGCTGACGTGAACGCGCATCGAGTAAGTGGTGTAGGACCACCCTTAACCCTGCACGGACTGTTGTGAATTAAGGTCCCTGTTAATGGATAGCTTGACTTCAACCACGTTGCAGGCTGTCAGTTGTAAAAAATGTGGCCTGGGTCCAGGCGAAACGGAAGCCCTTCAGCGAGGTTGACTCTTCAAGGGACAGCAGGTGTCGTCACTGAGAGCAGGCACCAGCGCCGTCATCTGCCAGGCTGCCCGGTGCCGCCGCCAGCCCGCTGCTGTCTCCTTAAAAGGGTGTTTTAGAGAGAAAGTGAAGTCAGCCGGTCTTTCCTGTTGGTGGAGCTCAAACGCCCACTCAAAGCCCTTGGGTCAGTTTCCGAGTTGGTGAAAAATAATTCTTCATTTTCCAGCTCCTAGCATTTCATGACCTCCGACGAATACTGTGTGTGTGTGTGGGTGTGTGTGTGTGGGTGTGTGTGTGCACCCCAATGACTTATCAAAGCCATAACCTGGCCTTTTACATTCATTTCCAACCACATGGGCAACCACACAGAGAGAAAGAGGTGCATTTACACCCCGAATCCGCATCGCTGCAGTCGTGTTCGACCCTCCTGGGGGCAGGCTGAGGCTGTGCAGGCTCCAGATCTGGCCTAGAGTTCACGTCAGGCCCCCAAGATTTTGCTGTTTGCAAAGGTGCCACTAGGAAATGCTTACTGGTTAATGGTCTGAACAAACCTGAGGCCTCGTGACCCTGGGGGACGTTCTTGGTAAGGATCTGAGAGCTCCCAGGGGTCCCAAGCCCGTGGGAGGGAACCGCCGTGGGAGTAGCGCTCGAAAAACCCAGCGTGCAAGATCGGACGGCACCTCCCCTGCAGGGAGCCCCATTAAGTCCCCTCTGATCCCCTGCCAGCACCCCCACGGGAGCCGTTCTCTGGGCTCCGCTAATCAACCTTTGTGAATTCCGCGTCTTGTCCCAGCTCACAGTGAACTGTTCACTGACTGGCCGTGGATGACCTGTCAGCCCCAAACTTCACCACTGGGCGGGACCTGTTTCTTACGGTGGTTTTAATGACTGACACACACCTTGTCAAAGAGCCTGCTTGATGCCTGAACTCTTCTCTAATTTTTTAAAAAATACATTTTTCTTGATTTCAGAGAGGAAGGGAGAGAGAGAGAGAGAGAGACACACACATCAATGATGCGAGAGAATCATGGATCGGCTGCCTCCTGCACGCCCCACACTGGGGATCAACCCCGAAACCCGGGCACGTGCCCTGACCAGGAATCAAACCGTGGCCTCCTGGTTCATAGGTCGACGCTCAACCTCTGAGCCCCGCCGGACAGGCCCAGGCCCTTCCTTTGCATCTGAACTGTCCGTAGCGTCCTGTCTACACTCACATAGGACGGGCTCTTGATGGCCACGGACAGGCTGCTGTGCCGGAAGCAGTAAGGTCTGATCCACAAAGCCCGTCCCCCTTTCTTGCAGAATGAGAGCTTCGGGGGGGCAGAGCGTCGTGGGCAGGTCTCCGGTCCAGCGGGTCAGACCGCGGGCCCGCGAGCAAACCAGCCCCTGCTTGCCCGCATCCCAACCCCGATCCTCTGCACGTTACCCATCAGCCTTGGCAGCTTTTCGTGCCAAGCACAGCCCGCCAGGGGGGTGAAGGATTGCACAATTCTTTAAAGGCCTTTGCACACACCCTGAAAACTGGAATATCCACTCCACGCACAGGGTTGAAAACGAGTGGTAGCTGATAAAGCCGGAAAGCTTATTTTTAAAAAATTTATGGCCACCTTCTAATGTCTTTGTCTTTATCTGTGTTTTCTTCACCCACAGGGCTGCCTCTGAAGTGGCACCAACATCCCGAGGGGTGGGCAGGGGGTGGACGAGCCAGGGCTGAGCTGAGCAGAGCCCAGCCCAGCCCAGAGGGTGGGCAGCGTCCCCACTGGGTGCCTACAACATGCCCGGGTTGTGGGCTCCATCCCCAGTAGGGGGCGTGCAGGAGGCAGCCAATCAATGATTCTCTCCCTCTCCCTTCCTCTCTGAAATCAATACAAATATAAAAAAGAAAAGAAAAAAGGGCCTGGCTGGCGTGGCTCAGTGGTTGGGCATCGACCTAGGAACCAGGAGGTCACGGTTCAATTCCTGGTCAGGGCACATGTCCGGGTTGCGGGTTCGATGTCCAGTAGGGGGCGTGCAGGAGGCAGCTGATCCACGATTCTCTTTCATCACTGAAGTTTCTCTCTCCCCCTCTCCCTTCCTCTCTGAAATCAATGAAATTACATCTTTAAAAAAAAAAAGGGGGAGCCCTAACCGGTTTGGCTCAGTGGATAGAGCGTCGGCCTGCGGACTGAAGGGTCCCAGGTTCGATTCCGGTCAAGGGCATGTACCTTGGCTACGGGCACATCCCCAGTAGGGGGTGTGTGGGAGGCAGCTGATCGATGTTTCTCGCCCATCGATGTTTCTAACTCTCTATCCCTCTCCCTTCCTCTCTGTAAAAAAATCAATAAAAGATATTTAAAATAAATAAATAATAAAAACAAAATTAAAATTAAAAAAAAAGGAAGGCAGGGCCTAGAGGCCCGAGGTGTCCCGGCCCCCGGCTGACCTGCGCTGTCCTGTTTGTTCTGCAGACGTCAGCGAGGTCGTCAGCAAGGCCGAGTCCTGCCGGGAGGACTGCACCTGCTCCGCCTGCTCGCTCCGGGCCCCCACCATCAGCGACCTGCTCAACGACCAGGACTTGCTGGACGTGATCAGGATCAAGCTGGACCCCTGCCACCCCACCATCAAGAACTGGAGGAATTTTGCCAGCAGGTGGGGCATGCGCCACGACGAGCTGTGCTTCCTGGAGCAGCGGCCCCAGAGCCCCACCCTGGAGTTCCTGCTCCGCAACAGCCAGCGGCCGGTGGGCCAGCTCATGGAGCTCTGCCAGCTCTACCACCGCGCCGACGTGGAGCGCGTGCTGCGCAGGTGGGTGGACGAGGAGTGGCCCAAGAGGGCACGCGGAGACCACCCCAGGAACTTCTAGGCCTCCGCTCCTCGCCTTGGCCAATTTGGACCTTGAAACAGCCCCAGACCAGGGAGCAATGTGAATCTATACCTTTATTTTTTTTTAATAATATATTTTTATTGATTTCAGAGAGGAAGGGAGAGAGAGAGAGAGAAACATCAATGATGAGAGAGAATCATGGATCGGCTGCCTCCTGCACGCCCCCTCCTGGGGATGGAGCCCGCAACCCGGGCGTGTGCCCTGACTAGGAATCGAACCGTGACCTCCTGGTTCCTAGGTTGACGCTCAAGCCCTGAGTCACGCCAGCCGGGCTGTGTGGCTCATTTTGGAGCCGTTCACTCATTTCTCAAGTCAGATTCCCTCTGGATGCCCACGGCTTTCTCTCTCCCAGGCTCAGGCCAACATCTGCTTCCATTTCTCACGGACAGATGCAGAGTCAGTGTGTAGGCTTGCCTTTCATAGTTAATAACACTTCGGTTTTCTACCCTTGTCACCCAAACTACACAATGACATGGGCCCAAAGAATCGATGAGGTCGTTCTCTTTGCTCTGTGGGGGTTCGAGCTCCCTCCAACCCCCCCCCCCCCCAACCCTGTGCACGCCCTATAAACGCAGGGAGGCAGGTTTCTGGAGCTCCAGGTGAGTGGGTGCCACACCTGGTAGTACCACTAGGGGGAGCACCTGGAGGGACTCACCACTAAATGACTCAGCCTAGATGCCTCCCAGAAATCAACCCTACATTTGCATTGAGGGGCAGCCTGACAGGGCTGCTTCCCACCCCTTTTGGAAATGGAGAAGGGGGTGGCTTCCCATGACTCCCTAAGCCGAGCCGTGTTCTCCTGTTGTCTGTGACACCCGGCGACCATCTTCCGTGGAGGCCTCCTGGGTGACGCGTCTCCCACCACCACCGGCAATGCTTTGAAACGACTGGATTTTTTGTGAGACTCTGTGTTGATCTATCTGAAGGGTGTACTTGTGAAGCCGCCTTCCTTTTGGTCTCCTGTTTCACCACGAGTTTATATGTTTCTTAGAAATAAAAGATTATTTTTACCTAGCATAATGGGTGCTACAGAATTAAAGGTGGATGCCAACCACTATCTCTAATGGGTGCTTTTATGTGGATTCCAACATCGTCGTCGCTTCTGTTGGTCCGTCAGAAGGCTAGTGAGTGTCTGAAATGTGGCCTGGACACTAAGGGGGCGAAGATAAGCAACACCTTCCATGGCCCTGGTCAGTTGGGCTCTGTGGATAGAGCGTCGGCGCCTGGACCGAAGGGTCTGGAGTTTGATTCCGGTCAAGGGCACATACCTCGGCGGCAGGCTAGACCCGGCCTTGGTCTGGGATGCGTGGGGGAGGCAAGCCCTTGATGTGTCTCTCTCACATCGATGTTCTGTCACCTCCTCCTCCCTCCCCCCTCTGAACTCCACTGTTCTGTGGTGAGGACAATAGGACAGCATGCCCACTGGGATGAATTAATTTCATCTGCACGCTGGAGATCTCTCCCATCTCCAAGATTCTTTTATTTTATGACAAAACCACAGTTCTAGAAGCTTGATTCTCACACCTGAGAAGACTGGGTTTGGGACATGATCCTGTAGAACATAAGAGGTAAGCCTGGTGAGTCCGAACACAGGGGGTCTAAGGCCAAAAAGAGATTGAGTACACGGGTGGTTGAGGGTATATGGGTGGTTGAGTACACGGGTGGTTTTGTGTACTTGGGTGGTGCTGGTGTTGGATGTGGGAGAGGATCATTCACATGAGCACAGTCAGTAGTGTGTTGGTAAATGTTTAACATCTGGCTTGGGGATGGGATGGGGTGGGGTGGGGAGGGAGCCCTATTGTAGCAGTGGTCCATTTCCATGGTGTAAATGCTCCCATCTGGCCGACGTCAAGGTGCATCATTGGCTCTCACGGGTGGTCTGAGGCAGCTCTAACACTCCACTGACCCTGATTTCCAAGTAAGGTCACAATCCTTTGGTGGGACTTGCAAACGCTTTAGGAGGTTATAAGCACCTTTTTTTTTTTAATGAAAAAAAAAAAAAGAATGCTTCACACGTAACGAAAGGATTGTTTTTGCGAAATTTCAGTTTCCATCATTTTAAGTGTGTATGTAATAAGTCACAGTGTAAATGCAGTCCTTCTTGTGGCTTGCTTGGAAAAAACTCTAAAAGGCACTGCGGTGCTATCTTCTGTCTTTAAAAGAAACAAAAAATAAAGACAAAATAAAATTTAAAAAAATCTTCCCTTTGAGTCCACACTCTGTTCCTCTCCATAGCAAACCTGGGTGAACGATTTAGTCATCATTTCCACTGCTGCTTCCTCTCTCATTTCTGAACGCAGTAGGTCGGTCACCGATGACCTCCAGGCTCCTAAGTCCGCTGGTTACTTCTATTTTTATTACTTTTCAATCCTCACCAGAGGATATTTTCCCCATTGATTTTTCGAGGTACGTGTGCTTTTGACCGGAATCGAACCCGGGACCCTTTGGTCTACCTGCCGATGCTCTACCCCCTGAGCCCCTGGCTAGGGCCGTGGGCTCCTCCTCTGTTCCTTGCCTTCCAGCAGCATTTGTCACGATGGGCGGTTCTCTCTCTAGACTTTCTTTCTTTGCCTTCGAACTCCTCTGGGCAGGTCTCGGGGCTGCCCTCCTCCGCCTCCTGGTTCTTTCTCTCCTTGGCTTCTGTCCTGGGTCCGAGGTCCAGTAGCTACTGTCCCCGTGACCCCATCGCGTCCAGGGCCTCCTTCCCCCCGTTTTCCTCTCTCCCGCGGCACCAAACGCTTGTCGGGAGCCTCAGGCTCTTTGCACGAATGGCTCCCGCGTTCTCCCCCCAAATCTGCATCCGCCCCCTCCTCTCACTCACCTTGACCTTCACCTTCACCTGCACCTGCACCTCCTCCCGAGGCTTCCGGGCAGCGGCCAAAGCCGCCCCAGACGCTCCCCTTGCAACACCCCGTCTCCAGGGCGGCGTGACCCCAGACTCCGCCCCGTTCTCATCCCATCCACCCCCGGCCGCTGGGCAGAACCGGAAACAGCGGCGGACTGAGCGCCGGGGCGGCCCGTAGCCGCGGAGCCGAGCGGAACCGGAACCGGACGGACCCGCGGACACGCCCTCCGCCCGAGCGCCTCGCATCGCCGGTGAGTGGGCTGCTCTGCGGGGGGCACGGGGAGCGCCGCGGGAGGGTCCGATGGGAGGCCGTCCCGGGGGAGCCGATGGGGGTCCAGCTCCCGGCCCCTGCAGCCGAGGCTGCGACCTGGAGGCCCCTCCGCCGCCCTTTAAAGCCCCGGGACCGGGTGACACCGCGGCCCCGTGCGCTCGGGCCACCGGGTGATGCGGGTCCCGGGCTGGGAGCGCGACGGGGGCGCCTGCGAGGCGCGCGGGTCGGGGTCGGGATCGGGGTCGGGATCGGGGTCGGGATCGGGATCGGGATCGGGGTCGGGGACCGGGCGGGCGGGAGGGGAGCCAGGTCGGGGCTCCCCCGCGGGCGGCGGCTTCCTCCGGGGTCCGGTGACCCGCGGCCGGTCAGGTGCTCCGGGCGGGTCCGGACTCCGGAAGCTCGAGTTTCCTTCCTCTTTTCATTCGTAAGTCTTAGCCTTCCCTCCAGCTACTCGGTGTACCCGCGGGTCCTTTTTAAAAACTGGGGTGACATCCCCGCTCTCACCACTCGCTGGAAGCCCTGGCCGCAGCGATCAGACAGGAAGAGGCGAAGGGCATCCACCCGGGAAAGGAGGAAGGGAAACTGTTATTCGCAGGTGACAGGGTATCGTTCCTAGAAAGCCCCGAAGCCTCCACCAGAAAATACTAGACTCCAGTGAGTTTGGCAGCGTAGCAGGTTACAGAATCAACACCCAAAAAGCGGTGGCTTTTTTTTTTTTTTATAAACTAATAATGAATTCTCAGAAAGAGAAACTAAACAATCCCATTTACTATTGCAACAACAACAACAACAAAATTAAGGAACTTAGGAATAAACTTAACCACCTAACTGGTTTGGCTCAGTGGATAGAGCGTCGGCCTGCGGACTGAAGGGTCCCAGGTTCGATTCCGGTCAAGGGCATGTACTGTGGTTGTGGGCACATCCCCAGTAGGGGGTGTGCAGGAGGCAGCAGATCGATGTTTCTCCCTCATCAATGTTTCTAACTCTCTATCCCTCTCCCTTCCTCTTTGTAAAAAATCAATAAAATATATCTTTAAAAAAAAAGAAAGAGGAAACTAAACAATCCCATTTACTATTGTAACAACAACAACAACAAAATTAAGGAACTTAGGAATAAACTTAACCAAGGCGGTAAAAGACCTGTACTCAGAAAACTACAGGATGCTGAAAAAAAAAGAGGAAGATAAACACTAGTGGAAGAATATACCGTGTTCATGGATTGGTAGAATTCACATCATTAAAATGCCCATACTCCCAAAGCAAACTGCAGATTCAATACAATCCCCATGAAAATACCAAGAGCATATTTCACAGATCTAGAACAAATCCTCCAAAAATGTATATGGAACAAAAAAAGAACCCCGAACAGCCCCAGCAATCCTGAGAAAGAAGAACAAAGTTGGAGGAATCACAATACCAGATCTCAAGTTACACTACAAAGCCACTGTAATCAAGACAGCCTGGTACTGGCACAAGAACAGGCATATAGATCAATGGAACAGAACAGAGACCCCAGAAATCGACCCAAACCATTACGCTCAATATTTGACAAAGGAGGCAAGAGCATACAATGGCGTCAAGACAGTCTCTTCAATAAATGGTGTTGGGAAAACTGGACAGACACATGCAAAAAAATGAAACTAGACCACCAACTTAAAGCCATACACAAGAATAAACTCAAGATGCTTAAAAAACTTAATGTAAGTCGTGAAACCATAAAAATCCTAGAACAAACCATAGGCAGCAAAATCTCAGATATCTCTCATAGCAATATGTTTACGGATACATCTCCTAGGGCAGTGATGGCGAACCTTTTGAGCTCGGCGTGTCAGCATTTTGAAAAACCCTAACTTAACTCTGGTGCCGTGACACATATAGAAATTTTTTGATATTTGCAACCATAGTAAAACAAAGATTTATATTTTTGATATTTATTGTATATATTTAAATGCCATTTAACAAAGAAAAATCAACCAAAAAAATGAGTTTGCATGTCACCTCTGACACGCGTGTCATAGGTTCGCCATCACTGTCCTAGGGCAAAGGAAACCAAGGTTAAAATAAACAAATGGGACTACATCAAAATAGAAAGTTTCTGCAGAGCAAAAGAAACCATCTACAAAACAAAAAGGGAGCCCACTGTATGGGAGAACATATTTGGCAATGATACATCTGATAAAGGGTTAATATCCAAAATATACAGGGAACTCATACAACTTGACAAAAGGAAGACAATGCCATTAAAAAATGGGCAAAGGACCTAAATAGACACTTCTCCAAAGTGAACACAGATGGCCAAGAGACATATGAAAAAAATGCTCAAAGTCACTGATCATCAGAGAGGTGCAAATTAAAATGACAAGGAGGTATCCCCTCAGACCTGGATGTCTGAGATTTTGCTGCCAATATAAGTACACTCGGTGAGAATTGGGGTCAGATCTTTGACTACAATAGCACCCTGTTATTTGGCAAATATCAGTGAAATAATTTCTAAGTTACCTTTAAGAATAATTATGATATAAAGAAAAGTGATGCATTTTTCCCCCTCTGTTTTGATTTTGCACAGGGCAACTGCCTCTGTTTCATTCGAGGAAACCTTTAAATGAAACTTGCTTAAAATCTGAGCTCGCACACAGAAGAGAGACCGCAATCAACGCTGAAGTGGAAGGGGAAGATGCTGTCCTTGAACAACCTACAGAATGTCATCTACAACCCGGTAACCGAGTCCTCTGCAGTCACCTTCTGCCTTTGGCAGGATTGAGAGCAAACCCAGGGCTGCAGTGACTGCGTAGCTGTTTGAAAACAGTGCGGGCCACTTGGGAAATGCTGGGTTTATATGTGATAAAAACGTGGGGCTTAACAATGTAGTCTTTCCGCTTCTTGTAAAAGCATATTTGTTCAAATTCTTTTCCCCAGATAATCCCCTATGTTGGGACCATCCCTGAGCA